GTTTCCTTTAAAGCAATTAGAGATAGTGGATTCGGTTCCAGTAGATATATTTAAGGTTTATCATAGTTTTTATTAACTTAATAATTATTAGAAGAATTCCAATATCTGGAGTAAAAGCTGCTACGCTTTTGTGAAAGTCTTAACAAAATCAGTCAATTCATTTCCTTAATATATAAGTACAAACGTTAAGAAATAAAAGTTTTTCAGGTAAAAAATAAAAAATAAATAGTGTAATATTAGTTTAAGCATTTATAATTATTAGCAATATTTTACTGTCAATTTGACAATGAAACATTATTACTCTTAATTTAATTATCATTATTATTAATTAAAGAAATAACAAAATAATACGTTCACGCTGTATCACTAACGTAATAAAAAAGTGTAAAAAAACACTGCTAACTTCCCAACTCTGGGCTGTTATTAAGAAAGAGGATTCTTAAGATAGAAATATCCAATATCTTTACTTGCCCAGACTCAGAATTCGAACCCAGGACCTTCAGATCTGCAACCTTACATGCTAGCCACTAGACCACTCTTGTGTTAATACGATGTAAATAACGTGTTTAATAAAAAAAAAGTATCAAAACGTCTCGATCACGCTACATCCCCATAACCTACTACACAATTACTTCAAACAGCTCGCATTTCATATTCAACTTTGCAACCCAGTAATAAGATAGGATTTAGATTGTCACTTACTATGTATGGTTCAAAGAAGTTGTATTTGGAAAAGAACATTAGCTTTTAGATCGCGGGTTCAGTTTTAGTGTAAATGTTTGTATGTACCATACAAATGTGCTATTTTTATATATACCAGCGATTTAACTTCGCTTCACGCTGGGGCCTAACAGTAATCTATGTCTTACTCCAGCTTATAGTCTATCTGTGTACTTCATCCAAATCGGTCCAGCAATTTTAACGGAAAGAAATAACAATACACATAAATACACTCATAATTTGATTAGTATTTCATTATTTTTTTTGTAAGTATTAAAAGTTTCAGAGATTATCCTCAACATACAAACAAATACGAAATTATTCTCTTTAAAATTTTAGACATAAAAAAATCGAACACGCTACCTCTTACGTTTATGGCACACAAGTAATTTCATCCATGAAATAGTTGGCGTTACCAAATAGGGATTAGAGCAAGAAAGTGTTGGAAAGAGACGGACTATATCGTGGTTTACTTAGAGGTTTTATTTTTTTATGTTTTAGGTAAAATGAAAGTTAAAACTGTTCATAGATTTTCAAAATAAAATCCATGCTTATATAATATAACAGTCTTTTTCTCTGTTACCGTCTTATGCTTAATTTGCTGGACCGATTTCGATGATATTTGGCAAGAGCTTAGATTGTATAATGGGAAAGGATATAGGCTATTTATTATTTAAATATCGATTTATGTAGGTCATTCAAATTCAACGTTTCGATACGAAATAATGATTTACAATTGAACAATTGTACAAATAAAACTTTTAACTGATAAAGGGATAGATTTTTTAACGTATAGGTATATTATATGACTAACGACTCACCCTCGCTTCGCTCGGGTTCCCCATAAACACATTCATCCCCATTTTCACCCCCTTAAGGGATGATTTCCGGGATAAAAAGTATCCTATGTTCTTCCCAGGGTCTCAATATCTATCTTCTTACCAAATTTCATCCAAATCGGTTCAGTAGATCTAGAGATTACCCCCTACAACGTCACAAACTCACAAACTTTACCTCTTTATAATATTAGTATAGATTAGTGACGTTACGTTTAAACGCTTAGACAGATTGCTCAGAGATAAGATATTCTCCCGCAGTAAAAAATATCGTTAAATGTTAACTCCGATAAGATTTGCTATCACTATACCAAATTTCATCAAAATTTGTCCAGTGATTTTCTCGTGATACGTTCACAGACAGACAGACAAAAAGACAAAAATTCTAACAACTATACATTCGGCCTCTGTATCGATAATAAGATTTTCCAAAAAATAATATTTAATGTTTTTTTAATTTAATTTTATTATATGTATAGATTATAAAACTATAGATATTCATAGGATAGCGGGTTTGACTCTGCTGGAGGTATAATAATATGTTAGTTATAAAAGCAGCTCTGCTCGCACAGTAAGCGAGACAGGCGTAAAATTTAGTCTATATCTGGATAAAATCATTATTCCTTGACAAATGTTATCAAAATCTGTTCGTTAAAAAGGCAACAAACACTTTCACATTTATAATATTTTTTTTGGATATACATATAGTGAGAGGCAGTAGTAGCCCAGTGGTAACGTGCTCGCTTGAGAAACTGAGTGAAGCGGGTTCAAATCCCGGGTCTCGCACCTCTGATATTTTCATGTGCGAATCATTTCTAACATAATCACCACTTGTCTTACGGTGAAGGAAAACGTCGTGAGGAAACCTGCATGTCTGAGAGAACCTAGCAAGTTTCCGAAAGACATGTGAAGTCCGCCAACCCGCACTTGGCCAGCGTGGTGGACTATGGCCTGATCCCCCTTAGTATTGAAGGGAGGCCCACCCCCAGCATTGGGACGTTAAAAAGGGTTAAATACACACATATAGTGCAACTATCTTACTAAAATTAAGTATAAATGCGACGTTGTTTGTGTTTTATGCATCAATTATTAAATTAAATTAATTTTTCCATCTTACTAATATTATAAATGTGAAAGTTTAGATGGATGTTTGGATGTTTGTTACTCAATCACGCCAGAACGGCTGAACGGATCTGTATGTTTGGCACAGAGATAGATAGTCTGGAATAGCACATAGGCTACTTGTTATCCCAGAAAAAGTACGGTTCCCGTGGGATAGATTTGTTTTTGTTGTAGAGATATAATTTGTAAGCCGAAGAGTGACAAACCTAAGATTTTTAAACCGACACGTCAAAAGCTTTTGTATTTTCAACCGACTTCAAAAAGGAGGAGGTTCTCAATTCGACTGTATGTTTTTTTTTATGTTTGTTACCTCAGAACTCCGTCATTTATTAACCGATTTGGACAATTTTTGTTTTGTTTGAAAGGGTATACTTCCAGATTGGTCCCATTTAAATTTCCAAAAAAAATACACCTCTAAGGGTGGAAAAATAGCTAATAATGAATTTAACCTACTTCTAATTGTCATATTGACTTGAAACATTGCAAGTATTTCTATTTCCGTTGATAGTACAGTGGTTCGGTATTGTTACCTTACTGTACCATACCATTGTAAGTCGGTAGGTGGAACTCTTCAACGGCTAATAGTAGATACTTTGAGTTTGGGCTTATTTTGTTTGATTTGACAAGCCTAACACTTTAGAATTCTTACTTTGCTACTACTGTCTACACTAAAAAGGGAAAAATAAAATCTTTTTAACAAAAAAATAAAAACCGACTTCAAACAAAAGCACTAAAAAGTAAAAAATAATTGATTGGTAGTTTTCATTTACTATACATACCTAATCAAATATTTTCGAAGTTTTGTAAAATATAGATAGATATAATACAATAATTTTCCACAGACTCTAGTTTGTAGGCCGCTGCTCTGCTCGTGTTGTAGATACTAAATACGATAATAAAAATTAGCCTACGAGCTATTCCAGGACATAAGCTATCTCTATTTTAAATTACATCAAAATCTGTTAAGCCATTACAACGTGAAGTGACAAACATACACACAAACTTTCGTTTATGTAATAATAATAGTGTAAGTTATAAAACGGATCGACGGACGTGATGAAATCAAGTTTCCGATATATATTTCAATTTCATAATAACCTTGGGCTTGGGAGTCTCGATGTTGCATATATGTTCGTACGTCTAGTGACGATACTTTCTTAGATTTACGCGAATATTTGACATCCATGCTTATTACTTATATGTTATACTAGCATTGTCTCCGGCTCCGTCCGCGTTCAGATGACCAAAAACCAAATTCTTAGGTTTTACATATTAGTATATTCTTATACCCTGTATACTATTATATCTGTATACTATGTAATTTTTCTCAGAAATGAGATATTTTTCTGTGGTAAAAAGTATCCTATATGTTGACCCGGACAATCAGCTATCACTATATCAAATTTCATCAAAATCCCTCAAGTGGTTTTACTGTGATGCGGTAACAGACAGACAGACAGACAGACAAAAATTCTAAAAACTATAGATTCGGCCTCTGTATCGATAATAATGTTTATTTCAATAAGATTTTCCAAAAAATATTTAATGTACAGATTCGGCTTAGTTACAAATTATTATATATATATATATATATATATATATATATATATATATATATATATATATATATATATATATATATATATATATCATAAATGTGAAAGTGTGTTTGTTTATCCTACTTTCACTTCAAAACAGAGTGATGGATTGGCGTGATTTTTTGTGTAGAGATAGTTTATCTCTTTCCCACGGGAAAACACGTTATAATACAATCCAAAAAAATATTTATGATCAGAATTACTTGAAACTTGGTATTAATGCTCTTCAATATAATTAAATATATACGTGTTTTAGCATTTTTCGAAATTCATACTTATAAGAGGGTAAAATAGGGGATGAAAGTTTGTATGAAACCTACCTTTCTAGAGTTTTTTAAGGCGAGCAAAGCCGCGGGTTCTGCTAGTTTTCAAAAAAATCTTTTACCCGACGTTTAGAATGCTATACCTATAGCAATCATTCGAAACATCGGTAAACAAGAATCCCAATAAATCCGCGAAAAAAACCGAAGATATATATATTTTTTTAAATCTAGTTACGATTTAAAGGCTGTTGCTAGTCAAATACCTAATCAGACAAATAACATACAATTATTCGTCCAATTATATTCGTCGGTCGATTATTGTGTTCTAATTAAATAATTAATTACTTATTTCCGAACGTGAGACCTTTTATTGAATTAACAAATATACATACATACAAAAAACATATGTATAAAGAAAGAAAGTACCCCGTTTTTTTAAAAGTCGGGTAAAAATAACTCACCTCGCCATGCAAATTTCGCCCATCAGGCGTATTTTCCGGGAGAAAGTATAGTCTAAGCGATACAAGCGTCTGATCTGACACTCTGTCCGTCCACAGTAATTGTAGTTCACCTAGAAAAAAAACAATATACATAATAATAATATTTAAATAAATAATAAAATATAACATAAAATTTGCACACAGAGCCATCTTGTTCCATGGTAAACTACGAGACCTGTGTTATGGATACCAGATAGTTGATACACTACACATATATAACTTTAGATACATACATATTATAGATATAAACAACCATGACTGGAGTAAAAACATTCGTGCTCATCACACAAATGAATGCCCTCAGCGGGACTCGAACCCGCGACCGCTGGCACAGCAAGTAGGGTAACTACAAACTGAGCCAAACTCCAGGCTGTCATTGAGGCTTAATATACAGAAAGACTCAATAACTAAACCTGGCCCGACCCGGGACTCGAACCCAGGACCTCCGGGTGTGCAGCCGTACATGCTAGACACTACACCACCGAGGCAGTTTTCTCTTTTATATATTTAGATTACGGGAAGGAGAATATCCTGAGGCAATCTGTATATCTGAGAGAACCTAGCAAGTTCTCGAAAGATATGCTCAGTCCGCTCGCACTTGGTCATTTTGGCACTCTAACCTGATCCCCCACGTATTGGAGGCCCACCCCCAACGGTGGGACTTTAAAAACTGTTGAATACACATATATAAATCTATATACATACCAATTGACACTAATTCGGAGTCCTGCCATATTCTGACGAAGAAGAAATCGCCTATCGCCACAATTCTTTCCCTAGGCCCTGTGAGTCTGATCGCCTTGTAAAAGGTATACTGTCCATGTTGACCGCAAGGAGCTCCGACCAACTAGAACAAAAAAATGTATACAATATACATTAGGTTTTACACTTGTTACTAATCTTCTATTCATTCATTTATATGTATGTATATATATATATATATATATATATATATATATATATATGAATGTTGGTAAGTGCGTAATTCAAGAATGGCTGGACCAATTCGGCAAAAAAATTTTTTCATATATTTTTTTATGTTCTACGGAAAGTTTTAATAACGAGAAAATATGAAATATTGACGAAAAAAATATTAAAATTTATATGGCTAACGCTGGCTAATAACTATTTATATATATTTAAAACGTACCGTACCGTACGTATTAGTATAAAATAAAAACAAGCTTTTATTTAAAAGCTTTAAAAAGAAACTTTAAATTACATAAAACCCAAATTACAATATTTGTCTATATCTAAACCGATTCTCTCTATACATCTATACATATAATAAAATTCTAACTGAGCGAAATCTGTAGGTACATTAAATATTTTTTGGAAAATCTTATTGATATAGTCAGTATTAGCGATACAAAGGCTGAGTCTGTAGTTTTTAGATTTTTTGTCTGTCTGTCTGTCTGTTACTGCATCACGGGAAAACCACTAGATAGATGATGAGATTTGTTATGATGATAGCTGGTTATCCGGGTCAAAATATCGGATACTTTTTACTGCTGGAAAATATCTCATTTCTGAGAAATCTATACTAAACGTTAAAACGTAAGTAGGGACGAACCCGAGCGGAGTGAGGGTGAGTCACTAGTAATAAATAAATATAGTTGAGTGACATCTTAAATGCCACCCAAAGTCAAGTGCTAGAGCTAGTCAAACAAATACGCGGTATCATCGTCCAAAAACGCCCTCTGAATGAATTTAATTAAGTTTTTTTAAATAAATCAAGAACAGTAAGCGCACAGGTTACAGCGGATGTAGTCATTTTGCTGTAACGATAGCAAAAAAATATTAACTCTTAAGTAAATATTTTATAGATACTTTTTTTTTATATATTATATTCATTGACATACAAAACCAAAAGGGTTTTTATTTATTTTTTAGGATATTTCGACAAATCAAATATATATTTATACAAATTTTGTCTGTCTGAATTTAACACTTTATCACTAAGCAACTGCTGGGCAGATTTCCATGAGCTTTGCTTTTTAAGCACTTTCACTACCGATTTCTTGTCTCCATCATCTGATCCAAGATGTTCATCGGTTCCATACATCGATCAAAAAATGTCCTCACCGGCTGAGCGGTCATTTTTTGTATATATATTATATAATATATTTTTTTGTGTAAACAACTCTACGCTTTGCATTTAAGGTTCAATTTACATTGTTGTATATTTATTTCAACTACAACCATTACCTAAACACAATTGGTGACAGTTTTAAGAGAACTTTTGCATGGGCTTGTGTATCTAGTAGTTTTTTGATCGATGGTGCCAAATAGTTATATTGTCATCGGCATTACTTTCACCTACAGATTCAATTCGATTCAAGTACGTTAAAATGCACTTCTTAATTTTTCTATAGTTACCTAAAGTTTTTTTTTTATTACGTAATATATTAAGACTTTCTTAGATTTACGCGAATATTTTACATTTAAAAATTTAAATAAAACTATCTTTTCGGTTTTTTTCGCGGATTTTTTTTGATTTAAGTAAATATCAAAATCAAAAAATAAATTACATATTTAAAATACGTAATATATTGTTTATCATATGTTTTTTTAATATATTTTTTAATTTAATTAATTAATTTATTATGTATGATTTATGGAGTATATGTGTGAAGCATATAATTTTATTTAGCTTTTGATGTTGAACATATTAGTATCTTATTGCAATAATAACAAAGTTGAGTAAAAGGAACGCACTAACAATTCTGACACCGGATGCAACCATTTTGTGTTGTACGGACAGAACAAAAGATTTATTGCTGTTTTTTTTAAATATTATAAAAATACGGAAGTATAAATTTTATTTTTAACTCTTATGAAATGTTAGAACGTGTTCTTGTAAAATTTAAGTAAAACTAACTTTATTAATTAATATTCATCCCAAATACACTTTTTCGACCAGTAATTAATCATTAAACTAATAAAATTAATCGTAAATAATAACGATTTCCTACTGACCTATTTCGGTTACGGCGACTTATTTCACTTAAACTAGCACTTGACCATGAAATATTATAATTTATGACCATGATATATATATGAAATATTGCTTTTCCATACAAACTTTCGTCACAATTTTCACTATCTTAAGGAATTGATTTCCGGGATAAAAACTATCCTATATCCTTCCCAGGGTCTCAAACTATCTTCTTACCGAATTTCATCTATTTCGGTTCAGTAGTTTCGGAGCTTATTCAGTACAGACAAACAAAAAATGTATAATATTTGTATAGATAAAGACTTTCTCTATTTCTTTTACTTTCAAAGTCCGGTGGGATAACAATTTAAAACGAGGGGTAAAAACAAGCAATTGTCGATGGCTTACACATTCTTCTAGGCACAGGTTTATAATACCACAAACTTAAAAAATACATTCCTTTACGGGACTAATTTGAAAGAAAAATAATATATAATCCACCTGAACCAAGATTCGAACCCAGAACCTCCAAAACTGCAGCAGTACATTCTAGCCAAAAACAATCTAAATAAACATTGTAGCTAGCTACCTAAAAATAATAAATTATCTACAAAATACTGCCTTTTCAACAAAAAAAAACAAAATTGATTTTTTAGCTACATAATTAAAAAAATATCACGTACTTTCTTAAACTCTATAATAGTTTACGGAAAGAAATAAAAAATTCGAAAACTTTCAATAGCTTTAAGTCTAGGTTATATAAATATACTCTTTGTATCTAATATTCTCACTTCCACTGATAACTGTTATAGTTTCTTACATCTTTCTATATATTTCTCATGTAAAAGACTTGTTCGTAATAAGAAATAAAGTTCTTTAAACCGAAACCAAACAAAACCAAACTCTTTATAACATAAGAATTAGGAGCCTAATAATTAAACTATCTCAACCTTTCATTGGCACAAGTCTAAGAATGTTTTAGTTGGCAAGAAAAAAGCTAGTGTGTATTGGCACAATTTGAATGTATTGTAAAAATAATTTAGTTTTTGTACATTCTGTAATGTACGTGCGTATGCACAACGTAATATATTTGCAACTGCTTGCTTTCGACATCAAAACTTCCTACAAATGTCACGTTCAGTATAAATTAATATAGCGATAATAATAAGATTGTTATAATATAATTATTTTCTTATAAAACATACTATAGAGAAATATAACAAATTCCTTCGTTATGACATAGTAGTAGCATGTTGGGTTTAAACTGTTTACTTGAGATAGCGAGTTGGATTCTTAGTACATGAAAATATTTGCTTTCCTAAAGAGAAAACTAAATAAAGTAGTAAGTTTCAACGTCTTCATTTAACCGACTGAAAATAGGGGGTTAGAGTTAAAAGGATTTTAATGATTACATCTGTTAAATAAGGTTTACTTACTGCTTTAAAGTTAATTTACAGCAAAAAAAAAACAAATGTCTATAAAAAAAAGTTTATGCTTAGTAAGTAATTTTTTTTAAACAACCCCTTCCAGTGAATTAAAAAAATAGGGAATCAAATAAATACAAACGACATAAAATATATAATAATAATAATTTAATAACATTTTTTTGTTGACGCTATCCCAGGACGAGCGCGGAATCAATAAGTATAAAATTGAAACAACCTCGGCATGTGTGCGAGCAAGACAGAGCTATATTAGGGTGACTACCCAATGTGAGTGTTATTAAAATTTATTATTATTTAATTATATTTGTTTTGTGTGCCAGGTTCGAGGTAGAGGGTACGAGGTTCGAATCCTGACACAGTCAACATGCCTTATTAGTTATTACTATCCATACTATGCAGTTGTGAATGTTTGTTACGAACGCTGAAACGTCTGAACCGATTTGGATAAAATTTAGTATACAGATAAATTATGAGCTAGAGAAACACATGGGCCAGTGTTAGATACACAATGACTATATAGTATTTTAAAATAAAGTCCCCCGCCGCGTCTGTCTGAACGCGATAAACTCAAAAACTACCGAACGGATTTTGATACGGTTTTCACCAATAGATAGTGATTCATGAGGAAAGTTTAGGTGTATAATATATTAAGGTTTTGTGTAAATTAGCTGAAATATGACGATGACTGTTGAAGATGTCTGAAAAAATCATCCCGATTGGGAGCTTCATAAAGCAATGTATTACAAAATTATCTCTCTTATAAAGATCTTCCTATCAAACGTTAAAACGTAAGTAGGGACGAACCCAAGCGAAGCAAGGGTTAGCCACTAGTAATATTATAAGTGTGTAAATATGTAAGTCTGTCTTTATGTCTGTTACTTTTCACGTGTCAACCGCTGAACAGATTCCGATGAAATTTGGTAAGGACCATAGATGTCATCCTTGGCTAGTCCTAAAAGGGACCGTACTAATAAAATAAACACGTCACACACGTTTTTTTGTGTTTTGACGACACATTTGTAGTCACTACTTGCTGTGCCAGTTCCATCTAGTTCCATGGTAAGCTACGAGGCTTGTGTTATGGATACCAGATAGTTGATACACTACACATATATAACTTTAAATACATACATATTATAAATATAAACATCCATGACTGGAGTACAAACATTCGTGCTCATCACACAAATGAATACCCCCAGCGGGACTCGAACCCGCGACCTCTGGCACAGCAAGTACTCAAGTCACTACAAACTGAGCCAGACGTGTCGTCTGAAAAATGTTTTACACATACCACCATACAATGTAGATATGTGTAGATATACCGGATAGAAAAACCAATACTACCCAGTACCCACCCAATAGAACCTCTCCTGTCTTAATGTGACGTCGTAGGATCACTTACTTACACACTCAACCACGATACCCCGACGGTAGATCTGCCAAAGCAGACCATAACCACCC